AAATAGGAATAAATAGCTGCTCAGTTAAAATCTGAATAAATAGGAATAAATACTTGCCCATGTTAAAATCTGAATAAATAGGAATAAATACTTGCCCATGTTAAAATCTGACATAAATAAGAATAAATAGCGGATTAAAAGTCTGAACAGAGAATAACGTCGCTGCCCCTTTAAGGAACCAGCGTCACAGACGCGACGCCTGGGTGACGCTGCGGTGCACAAACCAGAGGGAGAGAGCAGAGGAGGAATCGGAGGAAAAGAGCAGTTGATTGATTAACGGAAAAAAAGTTAATATTATAGTTAAGAAGACATAATTTACCTGGTCGGAAACTGACGGGGATTTTATGAGAACTAAGTTACATCGGTTTTGGTGAGTTTTGTGTTTATTTTTTTACATTTTTCACCGTGTTGTACTTTTCCTTTTGGCGGAAAGCTAACGCTTAAGACGTAGCTGTTTGCAAGAAATGCTCCGTTATAAACTGTGATCAGGTTAATGAATAAACGGTTATCCAGTTAATATGTTGAGTTTATGAAGAAGAATTTATTTGTATAATTTAAGGATTTAAAAAGAGTTTTGTAGATTTGTGGCCTGTTACACAGGTCAGGTTTTTTTGTTCGGTTGGAAGCTCGGTCGGAGCGAAGATTGGTCTGCCGTGTGCGACGTCCACATTCACAGACGGGATTCAAGATGGCGAGCCAGACCTAGACCTTCAATTCATCTTCTCCATCATATCAGGGAGGGACTCTCCTGCGTATGATAATTCGCTGCCGGAGCGGTAGGAACTTCAGGAACTAGTTCAAACCGAACTGGACAGGATTAAGAACTGATTTAAGAACTGGTGAAATTATTATTATTTTTCTGGACTGAATCAAAACTGAAGCTTTTCATTGAACTGAGAACCTGAACTCACATTTGGACTTGAACTTGAGTTTAAAGTGTCATACTTAAATTTTCATATGTTATGTCTCTGAATGTGAATTGAATAATTGTGGTCCACTTTGATTTGTTTGAGGGTATTTCCTTACCTGTG